TTACCAGAGTCGGTTTTCCAGGTTCTGAGGCAGCTAAACAGCCCCACATCACCACACTACCACCACCATGCTGTGCTATTGGAATGACTTCCCATTTTACTGTAATCTTTTTTCCAAAATGTCGGACACCTTCCAAGAAATTCCACTTTTATTTCATCAGTCCACAGAGCATTATCCCTAAAGTCTTGAGGATCATCAAGAGATTTTCTAGGAAAACTGAAGGTTAATCCTCCTGATCCTTTTGCCCAGCAGTGATTTTCTTATTGGAATTGTGCCATGTGAGCCATTTTTGACCAGTTTTCTCATAGTGAAGTCATTTACGTGGGTCTGCAGTTCTTTAGATGTTGTTCTGGGGTCTTTTGTCATCGCTGCGCTCTTAGGGTAACTTTGATCAGCCGGCCACTCCTCCATTTGTTCTTGGCTGTTTGTGGATAATGGCTCTCAGTGTGGTTCAACTCGTTTTTTTGTTCCTGAACTTCCATGGAGCACTGGATTCTGTCTGGCTTTTGACGATTGCTTGGCCTACTCTACTTTGTCAGGTAGATTCTGTTTAAGTCTTGATTAAGAACAGGAAGTGGTCAATCAAGTCTGGTTACAGCTGGACAAAGTGAACTCAGCTTTTAGGTCAGTTTTTACATGAGCGTTTATTCTCCCACTGAATAAAAGTACTCTGAAGGCTAGTTTTGTCGTGATCATGCTACTGTAATAAAGTATTAATTTAAAGCTTTTTACACATTTTTACCAGCTCCACATCTATAAGTTGAAGTTTGTTTCAGTTCAGTTAGGGTGACAAAACAGTACTTCTCTGTTCGGAGCTGCATCATCAGTCTCAGAACAAGTGCTGTCCCCCCACTTTTACACTTTGAGCGTCCCGTTTTTGTCTGTTAAAATAACCACTTAACACATTGGCACTGACATTGTTCTGTGTGGTACGACAGCATATTAGGGCCACTGTAGACAGAAAAAGAAGGAGTAAATGTCCACCAAAAAACTCTGAAATTTTCAGATTAATCTCAGAAATTCTCTGGACAAAACAAGGGAAGTTTCTGAAATTGAAAATTTGCTAGGAATAAAACCCCATGAACTTCTGAGACTTGCATCAGAAATTCCAAAATTTCCATATTTTTTTCTAGAGAATTCTCAGATTAATTTCTAGCAAATTTTAAACTTTTCTAACTCAGAAATGTCCTTGTTTTTTCTAGTAAATCTCATAGGCTTTTTTTTGTTGTTGTTTTGGCATATACAAAGGCCCTAAAATACCATGGTAGGGGTGGAGCCTCAGGAAGTGAAATCAGATAGGAGAGGCTGATCAAGACACAAAATTGGGATTTAGGGTGAAAAAATGACAATGTCCTCATGAATGTGTTAGAAAATGACATGCAGCATACAGTTGTGCTGTGGATGTGACCAAAAAAAAAAAAAAAAAAAAAAAAGTAGACAGAGAATGAAGAACATGACAAAGAAAAACAAATTAAACAACTGAAAAATACAAGAACCTTTACAGTTTATTAAACACTTTGTTCATGATCCTTCCTTTACAGAAACTCAAGACAACGTAGAGTACCTCTGGAAAGTATTCTCACCTCTACACTTTTTTCATAAAATTTTGATATATATATATATATATATATATATATATATATATATATATTAAATAGCTAATTAATTTGGGAACAAGCTGCAATGTAAAAAGCAGGAAAAGTAAATACTTTCTTAGCAAAAAAAATCTGCTCTTTACATGAGATTTCAAGTTGATTTATAAAGCATGTTGCAATATCAAGTTCCTAAACTTTCTCACTGAATGTAATCTGATATTACTGCTACCACAGCTTCAGCTTCCACATTACACGTTTCTGATTTCAGTCTCATTTAAGTAATCAAATTATATTTCCATTTAGGAACACGGAGCTCCTGCTAAACACACCCCGGCTGATTCTGAAACCATTTCCTCACGTGGCAGCGGGACCAGCATCTCTGCTGGATTCGGTCAGAACCTAATGGGACATCTGAGAATTCTGCTGCTTCTCTCTCGTTTCTAAGACGCATTGAAACTGCTTGTTGAAGTTGCGATGATGTTTTCTTAGATTGTCTTTTGTGCCCACAAAAGGGAGGAAAAATAGATTTAGAAGAATCATAAAAATGGTTCCAGTCTGGCAAACTTAGCAGGGATCTTAAAGGACGGTTTGTAGCTTAGATTCAGTCTCCCTAACGCTGATCCTTCATCCCGTCGGACAGAAGATTTACACCCTGAGATCGTTTCAGACAAAGCTACCGAGCAGAACAGTGCGTTTCCACCCAGGAAAGACTCTACAGTCAGTTTCCATAACTGCAGCTTTTGTCTTCCTCTCCATAAACAGTAAATAATTGGAAGGAAGCGTTCTCCCTCAGCTGTACCTAGCTTAGACACCAGAACAAAAGACTGCTTCAAAGGTGGTAATGGTGAGCAGCAAAGCTTCTTTTTTCCTGACAAAAAACCTAAAAGCAGATGTTAAATGAACACCTGGAAACATACATATATTATATATATATTTATCTATTTTTTTTTTCTGTCAACCACAAAATGCCTGTAGACTTCTGCTAAATAGAGGTTCCCAAACTGCTTGCAGAAAGGCTACTCATGTGCTTGGTTGGACAGGTTTTCATCCACTCCTCATAAACATATTAGCATATAACGATAATGTGTGTTAATAATATACACTAGAAATGCACCATAAAATAGCTGGTGAGCAGACTCTGAAGATTTCAACTTGATCTGCCCTGATCTCTGGCCGCCTGGTTGGGTTTTGATCAATGAACACACCTTGATAATGCTATCAGGTTGGCCTGACAGGAACACTCTTCTGTGCAGATGTTGTTACAGCAGGAAGACAAATCAACGTTAGCTTGGTTTTTGCTATCACCGCGGTGCTTAAGTTGAAGTCGGAGAAAGTAGAGATGCAAGATACGACAGAGCATTAGGGCCATTGGAGATAAAATAAGGGAGTACATTTTCGCCAAAAAACAAAAACAAAAAAAAAAAAAAAAAGTAGATTAATCTCAGAAATTTTCTTGCAAATACTTGGAAATTCCTGTTTGAAAAGTCAAAGATTTGCTAAAAAAAAATTTCATACAAGTCTCAAATTTCTAGGGAAAAAAAACTTTTTCCAAGTTTCAAAAGTTGAACATTTTTGACTTTTCAAACTCTGACTTTTACCATGTTTTCTAAAACAAAATTCTGAAATCATTCTCACAATTACAGAGGTTTTTTTTTTTTTGGCAGAAATTTACTCTTTAAAGTTCTTATTTTTTTTTATCCACAAAAGGCCCTAACACGCCGTCATAATAAAAATCTATGTAAAGAGATACTATATTTTCCATGTTTGCAGTTCATTAATGCAAGCAAGACTTTCAACAGATAAGAGACTGAATGGAGTGCGGCAAAGTTGCTCTGCTGTAGTGGCCTTCATTTGAGAGTGGACAGACAGGAAAGCGGGTTATGAGTAAGAGGAAAGGCAACGGTCATCAGGTCAGGACTCAAACATGTGACGGCCAAATCGAGGACTAAGGCCTCCGTATCTGGGTTGCATGCTTTACCTCTGCGCCACCGCAGCGCTCCAGAGTTGTTCTGGATTTATCCTGCTGTAGGTCATGGAGCATACCGGATTTGGAAAAGCTGAGTCTTGTGAGTCTGTGACTTAGATTAACGTTCAACATTCTCAAGGAATAGAGATGGAGATGTTACATCAGTAGAGGTGATGAGCTCTAATATGAGAAAATCCATTTTGGAGTCGTTCTAAAATAGTTAAAGCCTGTTTTATAGTTGATCTTTTGTGACAAATACAATTTACTGAAACATTCTTATGTTATAGTTCTTAAGCAGAAATCAAAATAATGCAAAATTGGTAGTGGAAAGTAAAAGCCTTATTGATTTCACCCACTCACCTCCACTGGGTGAATCTACAAACATTGTGATCTAATTAGTGACCTCCTGACAGGATATAAAACAAGTATTTGACATTTCTGAGGGCTTAGCTTCCAAATATTGAGAGTTTGGGATTTTTTTTTTCTTGTGTGAATGTAAAACCCTAAACCTTAATAAATATGTTACTGCTGATAAGTGAGTTTATCCATCAACTGGTGATGAACCATTTGATCCAAGTATGCACTCTTCTTCACATTTACAGCAGCTGCTGACTGATGCTGCAGATGAACACGCCTGACCTAAACAATCTGCCAACAGAGGCGGATCCAGTCCACATCTGGGTTTAGACTCCATCTGAACGCGGACGACGAACAAGCTCCTAATCATCAACGGATTCCAGGAATGGATTAAAGTGAACATCATCGACTCGGTGCTATTTTAGGAACCTCTCAGTCATGTCTAACTGTGCCAGGCACCTTTACAGAATACTGCCAAGGAATCCCAAAGAGGAATACCAGCACACTGGCAGTGAGCAAAGACTGTCCAACGTTAGCTCAACTTAGCAGAGACTCAAACCTTTCCAGGGGGAGTAAGGACGTTAAGCAGCCGCAGCCAGAAAATGATCACCTTTAAAGATGCTTTTCAGGATCATAAAGCTCTGAAAATTATAAAAATCAGGTAAGGAAAACTATTTGTCGAAAACAACTCGAGTTAAAATCAGTGCTGCTATATTTTGCCTGATAACTGCAGTAAATATTTTGTCTAAAATATTTAATTCAGGTGACTAAACTACCAAAATAGCTAAACATTTGACTTATTACACTTGCACACATCATATTGCATTTCATACTATTTTATATTGCAGATTGAAAAACAAAGCAAATTTTTTAAACACTTTTCCTAAAATGGGGACATTGTTTAATCAGAGTAACATTTACTTGGAGATCTGATAAAACTACATATCGACATATTTATCTGCCAAGCCGTTTCATCTACTGTACTGTTAAACTTTTCCACATTTCGGCTTGTTTCCATCTCGTTTCTATTAGGATTTTTTGCGACAAATATCTTGATAAGGAGAAAGAAACAAGGATTAAACAATATGGGAAAATGGGAGGAAATTGGCACATTTTGGCCAAAAACTACCACTGTACATCAGTAGGGGTGCACTGATTGCAGTTTCTAGGCCAATCTTCAAATGGCAATTCTGATTCTGGCTGATATTGTTTTTTTTTTTTGTTTGTTTGTTTGTTTTACCTTAAAACCTGTAAATATAATGACAAAGTCACAAAGTTAGCAACAGTGGGGTGACTATTGTTCACTGCAGACATGAAGGAAATCGAGGCCGACCAATTTAGTGGCGAATGCCTATTCTGAAGATACCTTTCCGCAGTAAAACACAGGGGTGGTAGCATCATGCTGTGGGGATGCCTCTTCTCAGCATCGACAGGGAAGATGGTGAACACTACAAGTCAGACATGAAGCTTTAAACTTCATAAGAATGAACCACTTTGTTTCTGTCCCAAAAACCCCAATAATAATAATAAAAAAACAAAGTTTCTGTTTGTACGGTGACAAAACGTGGATTGCACTATGTGGAAGTATGAATATTTTTGTCCCTGTACATTAAATTGTATTTTTTCTGTAAAAAGGAAAAGAAAGAAAAAAAAATCCCTGTTTAAAACTAACATTCATAGCTGCAGCGTAATATTATTTTGAAACTGGTCTGAAGGTAGAATTCAAAATAATCTCTTCCACACTCATATTCATAATAACCAAAAAAATCTTATAATCTCCTTAAAGGCCTAAAAAAAATGTATAAATAAATATACAAACAGTACATGAACCATTAGTAGTACATGCATCAAGAGAAGGCCACTTTGTATTTATCCTATAAAGGCCAATTCTACCAGAATTCTAACAGAACCCATATGGAGCAAATATAAATCATTCCAGCTTCGAGTTTACCCTCTTCATAAGCAAATTTAAAATCCTCCAGTTTCATAAAACCAGCTAGGACAGGTGTTCGGTATGTGGTTCTGTTTGTCTGGGTTTTCTTAGCAGTAACCAGGATCTGGTGTTGAGCACTATAGTGTAACTTGAGCACTTTACAAGGAGGTGAGACTGCATATAAAAACCAGCCACAACCACTAAATGAAACTGATAGTGCTGTTGCACAGCTGTGCTTTGCTTGCAGACATTAAGTAGCACTCTTATGGGTATTGCTTTGAAAAAATAAAATAAAAATCTGATCCTAAATGTGACAGATTTCTCTATGCCAAGAGTCAAGTCGTCCTTAAAAGTCTTAAGGGACGCCGCTAGGCACGGGCCAGTGTGACATTCTCATAACATTGAATAAAAACACAATTTACAACTACATTTTAAACAGACATAAAATAGAATCTAGTTACTTTAATTGAAACAGACAACTTTTCCAACTGCCACTGAAGTATTGATTTTTTTTCTAATGGTCTAGCATTCAGTTATTTCTATTTTCATTCAGTTAAGCAAGAATGTAAAATAATAATTAGTCAGAAATTTCAAGTTTCAAGAGTAACAAGTATAATAAGCCGATATTAGCATGTTAATTAGTAAGGCTATCCGCTCGGGTAGCCTGCCTGCAGTCTGCTGCTGAACAGACGAGCTAATTATAGACACAACAGTTACAATGAGACCTCTGTCTATGGTTCGAACATTTTCGCTCCAGTTTACCTCTCCTCTAAGTGAGAGAAAAGTGCAGTTGCTTTCTTTCTGCAACATAGGGAGTGTGTAGCAGTGGGTGGGTGAGGGGAATTACTAAATTCTGCTCGGGCGCCTTATTAAAAGGGGCAGTGTTGTGTGTTTTCCAGACATATAGAATAGCTTAATAGCACAATTAAGCAGCCATGTTACCTTCAGTTGTTATAAAATGCTAAATATAAGAAATACAACTTCAAAGAAATTTGTCTTTGTACTTTAACGGCTAGAAATTGGGTTCCCGTCTCTTTAAGAAACTTCTGCTCTTTCTGAAATAACACCTTCAGGAAGTGATCACAACATGGTTCCTCTATTAACCCTTTAACAATGTTTTTTACCAATTTTGTTCTGAGAAGTAGATCCTATAATGAGCTCAGCTGATCCGCAGTTCCACCAGGTGTTTGCTAATTGCTGCTGGCTAGTCTGAAGGAGCTGAGTGTGGGAGAGCTGCTCTGTGAGTTTGGAAATGGCAGCTCTGAGGAGGAGCTGAGCCTTGAAGGCAGGGCCAAGTCCACCCAGGTGTTTTGCACAGTTGAATGGTTACCGTGGAGATTTAAGGATTTCTCCAACATGCATGAAAGAATCAAAGGAACACTACAGGTATGTTTGTGATGAGAAAATTACATTATAACATGGTAGAAAGCTTAAAAAAAGGTTGACTTAACATAATACTGTCCCTGTATGAGAGCTTTAGAGCACAGAAACAATAGGATGGTGTGTTGTTTTGGTGTTCAAGTCATCACTTTTTCCAACATCAGGATACTTTGATACACAGTAACTGACCCATGCCTAGACAGAGAGTGTAAAGCACCAACACGGCCTACAAACTGCAGTCTCAATCCGACAGTGCTTCTACAGAATGCACAAGAAACGGTCAGATCAAGAAAGATCCACTAGCAATCGATGTTACAGCACAAGACCCCTGAGGAGACGCCCAGAGAATCAATGTCCCCAGCAAGTTAGAGCTGCTAGAGGTATAAATGTTGTAACATTTATGTATACCACAGTAAGTAACTGATACCATCCGAGAAGCTCCATACTAACTGGAATGAATCTAAATCTGCTTTCATTCCCAGAATAAACTAATGTAAAGCACTTTCAAAATGTAATTATGCCAGTTTCATTCACAATCTGAGCTTTGTGTCTAATAATGTCTTTGGTAGCAGCCACTAACGGTACCGACCAACCAGAACAAACACAAATGAGAAAAAGAGAAAGGAAGTATATGATATTGGATGGTGGGTGAAAATAAATTTAAAAAAAACTTAGTGGAATGACAATAATGAATATACTGTTTACTGTGCAAGTTCAGAATGGATGTCATTTGTGTGAGATGACATGATTGAAATGAAAGGCAAGATGTTTCACCCCACACTCTAAATATCACACCCACTAATATGATCAAATTTCTCCTCAAAGCTTTTAGTTCGTAAAGCAACCATGGTTCCATGTCACCCTGTTCCCTGTATCAATAAATTAGCTAAAATTACATAAACTCAAGTATCCACAAAATACATAGAATCACTCCAAAAGGTTTTACATAATAGCTTTCAAATTAATTTTGTGCATTGAAGAGGAAGGAGGCCTTTTTATTGATTTTTTTCGTTAAGCAGTTATTTCCACATGGCAGCTGTTACCTTGTAATTCTCCACTGACTTGATGTCCGAAGTATTCTGAGAGCCGGTAGCAGACTAAGCTAATCTGTGGTTTTTTTTTTTTTTTTTTTTTTTTTTTTTACAAATGCTCTCTGTGTCTTTGAGGGAAGATGAGTTAGCTGTTGAGTTTGGCTGCCTGCTCCTTCTCAGCTTTGTCTTTGGCCTTCTCCTTCTCGATCAGCTTCTCTTCCTTATGCAGCATGACCATGATGTCAGCCAGCTGCGAAGTAGAGATGTCGATGTCTTCCTTGTCGATCAGTTCCACCATCTGAACAAAACATGGCCCGGAAGAACATCGGTTAGACAAAGAAATGTGCTTTCTGGTTTTTTGAGTGCTGAAAAACACAAAAACTAACCCTGAAGCACTAATCATAAATGTTAGTTCTGTTGTCACTAAAGAGCTCTACCCATATGGTATTTAGCAGAGGCTAATGCTAAAGTGCTAACTTCAATTCAAATTACATCTGTCCTTGAAAGACTACAAATTTCCAGCACCAATTTAATTTTGAACTGGTGCATCAATGGGCTTCACCTAAATGAGAGCATGAACATAAACGTCTAACTTCTTGAAGAATTTTTAAGAAAATTTAAACCCAGATGTTGAATTTTATTCAACTTAAAGTTTACAAACTAAGTAAATTAGCTTAGGAGAAACTAAGTGAGCCATAAAGATAAAATAAAATGCAATATTTGGCACCGTTAACAAAAAAGTTAGTTGTCCTAACCCTAAACCTCTAATCATAAACATTAGTTCTGCTACAGCATTAGATACTCAAAAGATATCTTCCCTTTAAGGGCTGCTACCTTTGAGCATTAGCTTTTGATATTATAATTTATAGGTTAATGTCCTTAGATATTTCAGTTATGTCAATATCTTGTTCTTTACTGTCTGTGTTTTTTGTTCCTGTATGTTTCTTCTTTTAAATGAGAAGGTGAAGAGAGGAAACAGAACTGCTGCGTAAACTTTACCCACTTCAAAATAAGAGCATGTATATAAACATCTAAATTCCTGAATAATAATTCAGAACATTTCAACACAGGTGTCTGACAGTTTGCACAACAGGCAAGTAAATAAGTGCTTTAGAATTGATCTCAAAAATGAATTCAGGAGATAAGTGAGCTAAATGTTTTCAAAGTTAAACAAAACATTAGCTCTGCTATTAGCACATTAGCACATAAAATCCAAGTAACATGCAAAAACGTTTGCGGCTGTAACGTGTCAGAATTAGTATGGGGCATGAACACTTTTACAAGGCACCGTATGCTGTGTTAAAGACGCAGTGTTCAACGTACTTTGATGACGTCGTCGATGTCGATCTTTCCGTCCTTGTTGTCGTCCAGGGCTTTTGCGATCCTCTGCAGCTTCTCCTCTGGAATGTTCTGGATCTGCCGCATGACGTTGATGAGCTCGTCGATGCCGATCAGGTTCTCCCTGAAGGTGTAGAACAGACTGTATACAGGAAACAGTTACCGACTTTGGCACGGTGTAAAATATGGTGGAGAGCTCCCAAATCAATGGGCTGCATTCGTTCTGGTCACCCAGATTACGCCGATCCAACCAATTCAGGGGGTTTGTTGATGACGCAAGCAGATTGGGTAAGTAATTGAACCCATGCTGAAATAAAATGCACAACATGCTGCTGTAAATATTCTTTTTAGCCTGATGTGCTGCTTTAAATGGTTTCAGTCAGATGTTAGCGTAGCCTCGCTGCATAAAGGAACTACGATATGCAGAAACTTTCATGCTTTTTGGACAAACATTTTTGACTTTTTGAATTTTACAAATCAAGCATCAAGTTTGAAAGTATTAATCAACAGACCAGAGCTGTTGAGCCTATTCCAAACACAGCAACCTGCTGGCTGAATTCTGTTGAGGTTCTGAGGTTAGGAACGGGACTGAAGACAGATTCTCTGCAGAACTATTTCAGCATGAGAAAAACCATGATGCAACGTCAGAGTCTGACATGCAGCAATGGTTTGACACTGTTCACCTTACCTCATGGCATCGCTATACTTAGTGAAGAATAATCTGCAAAATTTGAAATCAATTAGAGGTCTGGATTTGGTGTTTCGATCGGACATGACATTCTTTAATTGATTGATTTTATATTTTATCTCCACCACCATTTTACAAGAAATGTACTGATAAGAGAAGGTGCGTTTTGACTGTGGGCTCAGGAAACAGGCTGTTTATGTGAATTATGGCCACTGACAATGTATGAATCACTTTTATTGTTTACAACACGCAAAGTTCAAATTTGGTCATTAAAGCAGCCTTACTGATCTGAGGAGCAAAGATCCCAGCCGCCAAATGAATCAGCATTAATCTCAGATTGTTTCAAATACAGATGGCTGTTGTTTCAAAGCTAAAGAAATCACTACTAATATTTCAGAAATATTGCAATAAATTTCCAATTATTTTTGCTGATCATGACAGGGAAAAAAGGGGTAACACTTTATTTGAAGGGGGTTGAATAAGACTGACATGACACTTTCATAAACATAACACCTGTCATGAACATCAATAAGCCTTCATGAATATTTATGACTGTTGTCATAAAGTTTCATTTGGTAAATTATGACACTTTTAATACAAAGTTGACATTATTTAAAATGTCTTTGTTATGACAACTTGACATTAACCAAGAAATCATTACTGATATAAATTTGTTATAAAAGTATTACTGATTGCACTTTAAAAATTAGGTAACTTTATGTTATTAAAGGTAAAGTTTAAACTAATGATTTCTTGGTTAATGTCAAGTTGTCATAACAAAGACATTTTGAATAATGTCAACTTTGTATTAAAAGATGACAACAGTCATAAATATTCATGAAGGCTTATTCATGTTCATGACAGGTGTTATGTCATGTTCATGAAAGTGTCATGTCAGTCTTATTCAACCCCCTTCAAATAAAGTGTTACCAAAAAAGGTTACTTGTCACACTTCCTGAGTTCTGGTACTACCTGGTGTTTCTAAATGAATACTGTGGTTACTTGACAAATTTTAGGAGAAATTAGTAAAGTTCACATTTTTTAAAATAATTATTTCTATATATTCTAACAGGAGCATAAAATACAGACACACAACGTCGCTATCTATTGGCTTTTCAGACAAACAAACAAATAAATAAATATCGGCCTAAACTGGAATCAGCTGTTTAAAGATCTGTGATCGGCCAGAAAACTACAATCAGTGCTTCGCAAGTTGTGATTGTAATATGTTGTAATTAAATGTAAAATAATTTAACGCTACTTCCACAACCATTTATTTACTCAGGTTAGCTGAAATTAAGTGACTTGATTTGTTTTTCTAATATTTCCAGGAAGGTCAAGTAATTCTAATGATAAATTTGAATGTATTCACCGCAACAGGCTGACATTTTCAATATGAACGACTAGGTTTAAGTTTTTTGTTTGTAAACAAAAATCCAAAGTTCTTCTTTTGTGTAAGGGGATGCTGGGAATGTGATCCGTACAAATGCTTAGCAACCTCCACCCAGTTGTTAAGGTTGTAGTTTTTGGTACCTATAATGACTCCTGAAAACTATCGTGATACCTGCAGTCAAAAAGCACCTTATGTGGAGGCTGATGATAATGAAGAGATTTGTTAATGATTAATGAGAAAGCTGCGGGAAAAAATGTGGGTAAAAGAAAAGGGATGTGGAGTAAATGTGACTCTTACCCAACAGGCACAGTGGTTCCGCTGTCCGCCTGCCCGTCCAGCATGACTTTGTCCTTCTCCAGCTCCACAATGATTTTATCAATGCGACCGATCATGCGTGTGACTCTCTTAGACAAACGCTTGCTGGCCTTCGATTCTTCCAAGGCCCTCTCCTGACCGTTCTTGGAAAATTCCTTTTTGATCTCCTCCAGATCCTGGAGACACACAGAAGGATTAAAATGATTCTGTGCATTTATGTATTGACAAAAATATGTTTTGTTTGTTTGTTTTAAGTGAAACAACTGAAGTGAACATGAATACAGTCTGAGCGTAAAAGCACCTCGTTGTACTCCTGGACGTCATCCTTCAGCTCCTCCAGTTCCTCTTTCTCCAGAGTCAGCAGCTTCTTCTGCTCCTTCAGCTTAGAGCAGGCGTCACTCAGAAGGTCAATCTCTTCTTTGGTTATCTCCTCATCCTGGAACAAGAAGAAACAATCAAAGAACAGCAAAAGAAATGATATACTGCAAGTGGATGTCATTAAAACTGAAGATCTACTTTAGAAATAACAATTGCAGCCTATTTCTGTCATATTTCACAGATACGATTGATGTATATTTACAACCAGTGTACACAATAAAGTGATTGTATGATTGTATGTTTGTTTGTTTGTTTGTTTGTTTTTTGGTCATAGCTTCAGCTTCATAGTGAGTTTTTAAAACATTTGCATGCATACAGTGTGCTAAAAATATTTTTAAGTGATTACTCTAATTGTTAGATCAGTCTTCTGATTAATTAATGCCTGAATAAGTGAACTGAAAAAACTGACTTAAGTACTTTTAAAAAAAAAAAACATGATGGTGGGTCCTGAACTCTGACCAGTAGAAAAACTATTACCTTGAAGGATTTGTGGCTGTACTTACAGGGGAAAATGGCTGTAATCTGACAACATGTGAAAAGGTCCACAGTCGCTGTACAAGTACAATCTATTAAAATAACATTTACTGTGAAGCCAAAAGAGATCAAAAAGCAGGAGGACGTCAAGAGGGGACTCTGGGTCATTACATTCTCACATGAGGGAAGAAAATCTATAGATGAAAGCTGGAAAGTCACAAGATGAATGGAACGGGAGGGCTCAAATACAGGAGTGCTGAACAGAACAACAAATAAAGTTTAACATTTCATTAAGGAAACCCAAACACTACATCCATCAGCTGTGGGGGAGCAACATTAAACCTAACCTGAATACGTAGAAACGTGTGCCAGTGCTCATACTGATGGGAGGAAACAAAAAGATCAACAAGTAAGAGAGAAAAGCTTTCCATCTGAACAGAGAGTCAGAATTAAATGAAGTCCACACCCCAAATACTGAAGGCCAATTTATTTGGGGAGAAAATATTGTTTTATCTTTATGATTATGATTTTTAATGCCTTATCGCATCAACAAGCTTATTCACGTGTCACTCATTTCATTTCTTATTTAATGCAAACACCACAATGAGGAAATTTTACGTTTTTTTACATTAGCAGAATATTATCAAAGGTGTGTTTGTGGTGGAAACGCAGCTACAGCAACTAATTTACTACTTCATGATATTACCTTGCTTCCCTCGATAACAGGAGCCGTGTCCCTCAGAGTCTCTGACTGAGCTGCTCTGGTAGCCTGTAGCAACGCAGGCTCTGCATCGCTGTGCTTCGCACCGTTGACTTCCAGCTCCAACTCGTCCTCCTGCAGGACAATACACAGTCAAACATGCAAAAGAGGCCAGTCGAACAAAAACAAATGTGAAAGTTAAACAGATTAGTCCAGCGGAAGCACACTGAAATTACTTTTTGATCAACTGTAATAATAATAATGTAAATAAATATGATGTTAGATTTTTGTTAAAAGTGGATTTCTCCATAATTGCTAAGATCTGTAATGCTAATGGGCCATATCAAATCTGAATGGTCTTAAAGGGCCAATTGTGCCAGAATATATTGACAAAGCTAATTAAACTGTCAAAATATCAATAAATACCTGTTCCTCCAGCATTTTGTGATTTATTTTAGTGAGGTTTTTTTGCAATCAAAATTACAGATTTTGTGGTGCCAATTTAGAAATGTTTATAAGAAATTTTTATGATATTTGTGCTGTGATGTTCAATGTGACTTCTTATTACTCCCCATGCCAGTTATAACTTGACTATAACTTGAAGGCTGAGACAGCATTCGCTTCAATCCAATGTTTTCAACCAATTTTGAGGAAATTTGTAGTAAAATTAGAAAAATATATGTAATTTTGTTGATTTTGTGTGAAATTTGCAGACTTACTGATGTAATTTGGAGTCTGTAGAGCCACATAAAAAACTACCGCGGGCCAGATTTGGCCCCGGGCCTTCAGTTTGACACCTGTGTTATAGCAACTCCAAAACCTGAAGTGAAAAGCAACTTTGCCTTGGACAGAGCCTGAATTAGGGGAGGGCATTTTTTGTATCTTTTATCTTTTATTGTGATACATTTCTTGTCATGATAAATCCCAATTAATGAAGTTAAAAAATCCCCCCAAACTGTCTGTTAAGAAACAAACAAACAAACATTTTTTGTTTGTTTGTTGTTTTTTAAAATGGGACCACGGTTCTCTTGTTTTAGGTCAGTTAGAATTACTAAAATTGTTTGCTAAATGCCACAGTAATAAGAGAAAATGTCTGAGGTTTATTTACTAATATCTCCAAATCAGAAGTCTGCATGCATTTCCTCAGTATTTGGTAGCACTGACTTTGAACTGTATGATTTATGTCAAAAGTTTGGGGTTTACACACACTTGAACGCGCACACAAACACACACATACCCTAGCAGCCTTCTCTGCAGCATCAGCCAGCCTCTCCATCTCCCGATCCTTGGAGTCTTGGCGTATTGCTGCCTCCTCCTGCAGCATCGTCTCTAGTTTGGTCTTATTGTCCACTTTGGAGAGCTCAATTTCAGCCACCTTCACCTGGGCCTCTTTGGTCTAAAGAGAAAAAAATAAACGTGCTTGGTTAACTTAACTTAGAGCAAATTAAATCGACTAAACTTGCGAGGCCTGTATCCACAGTTAAACTGGGTAGAGGTACTTTTCGGGGTTTTTTTTTTTTTTTTTTTTGCACCATTCATTCCAGCGAACATACCACCATCTCAGGAAGGGTTTGCAGCGTAGTTTTGAGCTGATCCGCTGGAGACAGAGTGTCAGGGAGGAACATGGCTCGGGACAGCAGCAGCAGAGACGTGGGGATCTGCTGGTTCAGATGCAGGTCCAACCACTGCAAAAAAACATGCAAAAAAACAAGCAGAAGAAGCTGACCCACTTCCTCATCTACCTTGAAGAAAAAGGTTACTTGTGGAGTCCCACAAGTCTGTGTGCTCAGACCAATTCTCTTTCCTAGATATGCATACAAGCATTCTTATTTGATTATTATCTTATTGTCTTTTTTTATTATTGTGATATATACCAATCAAATACAGGTGTTAAGATTCAGTGAGGGCTGCACAGTGGCGCAGTTGGTAGAGCTGTTGCCTTGCAGCAAGAAGGTTCTGGGTTCGATTCCCGGCCTGGTCTTTCTGCATGGAGTTTGCATGTTCTCCCTGTGCATGCGTGGGTTCTCTCCTGGTACTCCGGTTTCCTCCCACAGTCCAAAAACATGACTGTTAGGTTAATTGGTCTGTCTAAATTGCCCCTAGGTGTGAGTGTGTGCATGGTTGTGTGTCTCTGTGTTGCCCTGCGACAGACTGGCGACCTGTCCAGGGTGACCCTGCCTCTCGCCCGGAACGTTAGCTGGAGATAGACACCAGCAACCATCCTGACCCCACTAAGGGACAAGGGTGTTAGAAAATGGATGGAAGATTCAGTGAGCACACGTATAAACAAAACGAAATGTGCAAAAAAAAAGAAAAAAGTAGAATGTAGTCCTTTAGGTATCTGACGTGTTAGTGGACGAAAGAAATAAAAATTAAAAAAATCAATTAATAATAATAAACCATTATGTATAAAGGGAAACAAAATTGTTAGGCAGAATGTTTTTCTTTATTTTATTCATCTGTACCAAAAGGAATTTGGGTTTGTTCTTTTCTTAATTTCTTAAAGATTTAAAGTTTGCTTTCCTACAAAAAAATTGACTTCTTGACTTGTTTAATTAGAATTATTGGATGCTTAGTTGATTGTTGAGAAGTATAAAAAATGTGTGTGTTTTTGTTACTTTAGAAATTACAAATGAATATTGTGACTTCACTATTTTGGCACACCTGCCAAAATATGTGGACCCCTCTGCTTTAATCCCTTGAAGTGTTCCTAGAGCTCCATAAACCTGCTCTTTCACTAATTCAGTCCGAGCCAAGACAAAAGACAGAAGAGTTAACTCGTCGTTTCTACTACCTGGCTGAGTTGCTCCCTCAGTCGTTCCTCTGTGACTCCTAGAGATCTCATCCCTCTAACGCGACAGGCCGACTGCACTTCAGTCACGCTCATACTCTCTATCCCTTCTTCTGCTATTAGCTGGAGAATAGAGATAAATGGGTCATAAGAGCATCGCCCCCAATGGGAGAACATCACACATCAAGTGGAGCTGAACCCTTCATACCTTGTCATCAGCATGGATGGCCCTCAGCTTCATGATGAGCTGAAAACGCAGGAAGTTATTGGTTCCAATGGACTGGAGCTCCAGGAGTCGGCAGAGAGCCACCAGTTGAGGTCGGGTCAGGTTGTCCAGAGTCAGCTCGTCCTCAAACAGTTTGGAGAACTTTATGATCTGCTCGTTACTGGGACGCTCTCCAGAGTTCCGGATCTGCAGAGAGAGTCCCATTACACACAGAATTCTGTAGTCTTAATATGACGTAATGGTCAAGTGACGTTAACACGTCTAGACATACACAGACAATGTGTTGTTTCAACCTGAAGAGAGGCACCTAAAGCCTTTTGGTCATTTCTCACCAACACCAACCTTTTGGAAGAAAGTGGAGAACTCCTCGGTCACATTGCCCTGGGCAGCCTTGTTCCTCAGTGCAATTTCCTCGATGGTGTCCTGTAAGAACTTGGCCATCTCCAGTTTGACTCTGAGCTCCTTCTTCAACCTCTCCTCCTAAAAACACGAGAAAAGATTTAACTTACTTTTACTTACATTTTTCCCCTTTTCAGCAAAGAAATGCCAAATGACTGAAAATGCATGTGGTGAATGCATGCAACCACCTTACAGCATCAGCCACTACATTTTGCTAAAAAAAAATATTGACTGAATGTTTAAAACCCAACTGGAAAAGTATCTGAATCCTGGTTTGATTTCCTTCAGAGAATCTACAACAGCAAATGCTAAAATGGCTTCAGAAGAACCATTTTAGACTACAGCTCTGGTTACCTTCTTTGACTGGGTTTCAAAGGTGGAAGGCAGCATGTTGGGGAACAGCTTCAACGCCACAGGAAGGAGGAACTCCATGAACGGGACGATGATGAACACCAGGAAAGGCAGCAGCCTGAAAACGTCTGCACACGTTCTGAGGAACTGAGGAGAATTTTTCAGAGAATAATGAGCACAAAGTCTGAGGATGATGATTCCAATAAACAAAAGATGATGCTTCAACAAGCTCTCACTGGTTCAGGAGACTACAGTCACATTCAGTAAATTAGAACACACGTCAAAATGAGGCTCGTTTGTCCGTTTAAAAGTACGTTTTGAAAATAACACACACATAAAGCAGAAAATCTAAACAATATTTTTCTATTGGTTTGATATGGTATTCTAATTTTAATTGTCATGTTTTCATTAACTGTAAGAGAAAAAACATACTCAACAGAAATGAAGCTTTCAAATATCCATCTGTGTGGAATTAATAATCTATATAATGTCATAAAGTTCCTGAAATAAATGGACTTTTCAACAATAATATAATTTAATGCATGGGTCTGTACGGGCCAGACACGACTACAAACTGAATCACAAATAGTCCCAGAAGTTACTGTGATAAATGATAATATTGTTGCTTGGAGACCATTTTCAAGGGGCATGATGGTAATGGCATAACAATGTAAGTTCAATGTAAGTTTCAATGTAAGTTTAAATGTTCTAAAGAACATTTGACAGTGGAACTGGTATATATTTTAAATATCCAATAAAATTTTTTTATCAAAAACAATAAACAAACACAACCCAGAACCATAAATATAATTGATTATAACGACTCTGTAAACAAACTTGCCCTTCAAAAATATGAATTGTTGGGCTCAAACAGTTAAAAACAGGCAAATATGACTGTTGGGACTTTTGTAATGATCAAGCTCATTTTAATTCATCATTCGATTAATTGGTTTATTGTGATTAGAGTTGTCGCAATAAACTAATTAATTGCACGACAGGCTAAAACGAGCTAAAATTTTTCATTTGCATGAAATGAAAAATTTTTCGTTTTTCTCTTTTCTCTCTACCTAAAACTGGATGACAAAAATCTTCAGTTTGGCGTTTTGGTCTCAACTAGTCCTTTTTGTTAAAGGACGATTTTGTTTACAGAGACTTTATAAGTCATTTTGTTTGCCGTTCCTGTTGTTTTATTTATTTACTTTGGGCATTTAAAGTGACCTCCAGTTCCAGTGTATTGATCTTCAAGGATGTGTTCTTGCATTACTATGCCATTAGCATTATACTACTTGAAAATGGTTTCAAAACAACAATATTATCATGTATTGCAATAACTTCTGGGACCATTTATCTCTCAACAAAATTTGTTACAGTGACCAGCCTACAACAGAGTTGGGTCTGCACCTTTCAAATGATTTTTAGTTTAACTCTGCTGCAGTTTATATAACCATCCAGCAGAGGGCGACATTTTGCCCCTAATCTCAACCTGAAACAAATACATCTTTGGCATGCTTTTCACTTTTCTTGTTTGTAGACAGAAGCAACATTCTTAGAATGTGTATATATACCCCCCCACACACACACACATGGTGACAGACACACACACTTAGTGCACATTCACGATTCCTGCTGCTTTCTTTGCATTGAGCTGTAGGCCAAAATGGGCATTCTACCCCACAGTGCTCAAAAAGCTCTCCTTCATTCAACAGGAAGCACTTTAGTTAAGCACAGAGAGGAACAATCCTAGCACCAAGCCAGCCCTGTTCTGTGTCATTGTACAGCTGTCCAACTGTGGCTTTATGACTGCTCCGAGACGCAACCTACACAAACCAGTCCCGAGGCAAGAGAACGCCAGAAAACACGAGTCTGCCTTTCTGTCCTCTCCACCTGCATTTCAGTGGGGCAGTGCGATGGAGGATTTAGGCCATCTTGAGTGAAAAGGCCTTTGTCTGCTGGCCCATTGACATGTATATCATCTGCTGGAGTTTTGGCATCAAAGCAGAAGGAATGGGGTGACACGTTGAAACAGAAAGAGCCCCTAAGCGGAGGGCCGAGGATTGTAGGTGAATGTGAAAGGAGGAGATTAAGGAGGCAATGCCATTCCAGGTTAGATGAATGGATGGTAAGATGGGTTTGGAGCATGCGCACAAGAGAAAGACTCCTGCATTTGAAAAGTGGCAGAGGGGGGTGGTCTTGCTTATAGAGGGGAAGCAGTGGTCAGTGAAAGGTCTGACCGACTGCTTTTAACATCAACACAAAGCTTTGTTTCCTCTGGTAACTAGATGAAAGTGTTTAAAATGTCTTCTTAGCTGCTTGAGCTAATATCTATTTGCATTGAATATAATTAGGAATGCACAGGTTGTGTTGGAATGCTGGGCATTTTCAGCTAAATCTCATCCTGGTGAGAAACCCTTTGGAAATCCAAACATTCAGTCAGAAGTTGCGCCTGCTAAGTCCTACTTCTTCAGTGTGGACAGTGTTACTGAATGAAGAAGCCTCAAAGTTAGCTTATTTTGGTAAGAAGTTATTTATCTCTCTCACACAGCACTGGAACATTGCCCTAGTTGCTAGTATACATACCACCAATAAATATGATGAGTATGAAGAGTGTTTATGACATTTTACAATATCCGAAAAGAATATTGCAATACTGTAATCCTGGGCATCAACAGAACATCCTCTGCTAAGATGATAGCCGTCAAATTTGACAAATTATGAGCAGCCCTTTCATTTCAACAAAAACTACTACATCAGGGGTCCCCAAACTTTTTCCTGTGAGGGCCACATAACTTTTCCTTTCTCTGCTGGGGGGCAGGAGTCAGTTTGTAACAGAAAAAGTGTGATATTTGCAGGAGTGCCTAAATGTAAAAATTTATTGTTTTCCAGAAAGCACAATCACAACCCTTTCTGTGATTTTTTCACAGAAAAAATCCAGGAAATAACACTATTTATGAAATAAATACCGTATTTTCCAGACTATAAGTCGCAACCCCAAAGTTCTTTTTTTTAAAAAAAAAAACCCAAAAAAAAAAAGTTTTTTTTAAATTTTTTTTTTTTTTTTTTTTT